AAACGATAAAAGTAACTAATGCAGAGGAAAAAGTTAAGGGATAAAACCTAAGAGAACCTCAGACATTAAAGCATGCATTTATGGCTGTAAAACCTGTTCAGCGCCGGTCCAACTTCTTAGCTCCGACCAGCTATAAATAGTATGTCCGAAGCTCCTGGACCCTGGCACCTTTTGTTCCGACACCCACCAACATTAGCACCTGATCTTGTTTGGATTTGCGGACAGATCCACGTTGATTGGTTACAAGAATTTGATTATTAGTTCCTGGTCTGAATCTCTGTTTTTGGATTTTTGAAAGTTTGAAAAGTTTGGAAAGTTTGCAGAGTTGGAAAGTTTTGGCTCCCACTATTGGGGGGAAAAGCTCTCGCAGAGAGAGAAAGAGCTCTCATGTGAGAGAAGTCGCTTGATAGATCTTCTTCGGTCTCCCCGAATTAGTTGGAGAACCATGGAAAGGCGCGATGGAATATTCCTTCCTCACTTCACTTCTCTTCCGGAAATAGTCTACAGTACAGACTACTAGTTAAAACTTCAAAGGCCGTCTGATTTGTTGAAGACTTGAAGAAATATAAAAGGTTTATTGCCCTTTATTCCCTGTATTCTATGGGTGTAGTCACATTTCCCCTCCTAATATTGCACCATTTATCATAGTTTTTCATAGTTGAAAGTCGAGCCAATCTACTTGATACTCGAAGTCGGATTTAACTTGACCTTGTCGAATTTCGTTTTGACCTGGTTTGGAAATTAATTAAACAAAGCATGAATAGCGTGACTTGTTTTTGGTTAATTGTGCTGTGCATTTTTCAACTATACTGAGATGGAACTTTTTAAACCCTAAAATTAAAATATAAGTAAAATTTATACTGTTTGAAGTTAAAAAGGGACTAAAGTATCTAATCTTATATTTCAGGACAAATTGTATGCCTAAGTTAGACCGATTTTATAGTTTAAAAACTAAAATATCTCATTTTAAAATTTAAGTAGTAAAGAGAGAATTTGGTTATAGTTGAAAGACGCAAAATAGAATTAACTCTATTCTGTTTGAACTTTGGCTCAATTAACATTGTTTAAAATTTATGTGTAAAAAATTCAAACAATTCAAATTTGTCTTGAAAAATGTTTGTTTTAGTTCAGTCTTGATTAATATTTAATCCAAGCTTGAAATAATTAACCAAAATTGGCAATTTTTTTAAGATAAGGGGACAAAGAACAAAAAAGACAAACTATTCATCCTCAATCTACTTAATTTTTTTGCGTCTTTCTCCGTCCTCATTAATGAATGTGTGTAGAAAAACAAATAGTAAGCCACTTTAATCAACTGAACTCATTCCTTTTCAAGTAATCTTTGGATTGATTTTGGTAACTTGTGTGTTTCACTAATTTTCTTTTTCTAATCTGTTGCAGAGTTTGACTAATCTTCATGATAAAACTGAAACAGATTTACTACTATCTTTTGGGTTGTGACAATGATTTGGTGGCAATCGTTATTTTAATCTTGAATTTTTTTTGTTGTTGAAATTTGATTGATTAGCATCAACTAAAGTTCTTAGCTCTAAAACTTTTTGAGGATTAATGATTTTTTGGCGCTTTGATTTGATGTAATTATAGAAATTATACGATCAACTAAAGTTCTTAACTCCATGGAGAAGAACCTAAGAAATTGTATATCATTGATGAGCCCTTGTAAACTCGTCAGCTGAAATTTTTTTACTAATCTGTTTCTTTTGTTTGTTAAAGAAAGAAATGAGTCCTTCTCTCACAAAAATTGTGGCTATTGATATCTATCACAAACAATACATCTTTGAATTGAGCCTTGTGACCTTACTGTAGTATCCCACTATCCATCATCCAATCCAACAGTGGCAATTTTAACACTGCAATCGGAAAGCCCAAATTAAGTAATAAATTGTTAGGGTACTCACTTCCACTATACTCGTCAAGTAGCTATGTACCAAACACGTTGTTATTTTGAGAAAAATGTAGTTTTGGTATCCAAACTTAGATGAGCAGTTTTAATCTTTAAACTTTGGAAGAAAATAAATCTGGTACCGAAACTTTCAACTTTTGTGCATATTTAGTACTCTTGATAGTTTTTTTCTAAATTGCTATTTGAAAGACTCATGTGATAGTCACATGTCTAGTAACTATTAATAAAAAATTGTCAAAAAAATGTAAAATATAATTTTGATTAAATTATTAGTTCTGTCACAAGGATATTTTACTTGATAAAATCATTAGTCCTTAACTTAGTACTTAATGTCAGAAGGATATTTTGCGTAACACTTAGTGCCAGAAGAATATTTTACATTTTTTCTAGCATTTTTTATACAATAATTGTTGGACATATGACTATGACATAAATTTTTTCAATAGTAATTTGGGAAAAATCCTTCAAGCGTACTAAATGTGCTCCAAAAAAAAAAAAGAGAATGGAGACAAAAAAATTTAGCATAGTAGAGGGTATTTTTGTCTTTTAGGGTTCCACTGACAAAAAATAATTAGAGTATACCTTAAATGAATAAATTATAATTAACCCAACTTTTTAATTACACAAAAAATAAGCATAAATAATGTTATCAATATTGGAGGGATACAAAAGTCCAATTTTACGTTGCTGCAAGGCCAGTACATCAAGTTGAGCCCAATTAATTGAATCCCGATCCGACCTGTTAATGGAAACCCAATACAATGGCTGTTTGAATTTCCCACGGCCGAGGAAGAAAATAGCGGGAAAAAAAGAAAGGATTTCTGAACTCTAAAAAGTAGGATTTTCTCATTCCCATTCCTTCTTGAAATAGTCGAATTCAATCAATCGCATTCTCCAATCATCATCAACATTGAAGAGACATTAGCAACGCTTCGATTTAGGGTTCGTTCTCTATTCTTTCTTCTTCTTGGTTGGATTTTGTAATTTGCTATTGTTTTGCCTCCCACTACCTGGGCTTCAGTTCTTTTGCAGAAAAAACATAAACTGGAACTCAGAAGTTGAAGACCAATGGCATCTGACTATAATAATTGACTACAAGCTAAGAGCAATAAATCAAGAACGAAAAGGGAATCAAAATCCAGGATTGTTCATGGCTGCAACAGCAAGATAGGAAAAGCCACGCAAGTACAAAAGAGGAAGAAGAGAGCAATGGATGCACAGAGTAGATGGAGAGCGATAGAAACTAAATTGAAGCGTCACAATAATACTATGAAGATTACTGCAATTTCAAGAACTGGAATTGATTGGATTAGTGCTGAGGTTAATAATTCAGATTTGAGCAAAAAAAGCTCATGTCCTGACTTTGGAAATCTACGGAGGATGACGCCAACCATGGTTACAAAAGCTATCTCCGGTCAGCAGACTCTCAAGGACGCTTTATGCTCCGTGATAAAAACCAGCCGATGTGCAAATATTATCTCAAAAGCAGAATCTGACAGGGTTGATCTCCAGCAAGAAAGGGAAGAATGAAAACACTAAACTCTGAAGAGGAGAAGGCTGCACCAAGGAGGGAGAGGGACGTAGAGCAGTTAAAGAAAGAGGCTAAATTGGTGGAAAGAGAGAGGGGGAGAGAGAGATGGAAGCTGCCAGGGTTACTTTGGAGATGATGAAAAGGAAAGTAGAGCTCGAGCTCGAGGACAATCTGATGATTCTCAAGGAACTCGAGATGTTAAGCGGATGTTCTCTCACCTATGTCCTCCGCAGGTATTAACCTGTCATGGTGCTGAGAGTCCTGAAGAATGGCAGCATTGTGAACCCTTTAGAACAGCTCGGGTTGCATGTGAAGGAGGAATTCTTGGAGGATGACGATGAAACATATTTCTGATTTGGAAAGCAGAAGAAAGCATAGGCAATCACATGTGATGACATTCGATCCTTGTCACAAGGTCATATGCTGAGAGTCCTGAAGAATTGCAGCATTGTGAACCCTTTAAAACAGCTTGGGTTGCACGCATGGTTCAAAGACTCGGCCGAGTCGTTATCAAAGACCGAGATACGTGATTCGCCGAGACGTCACCGTGAAGGGTTGAAACGGCCGAGTCTCACCGAATCACTCCGAGTCATCCTGAGTCAACTCAAATTTTTATTATTTTTACTAATTTTTTAATTATTTTTGTTTATCATAAATTTTACAATTTTTAGAATATTAAATATTTCAAAAATTGGCGTCTCGCCGAGACCGCGACCGATATGGAACGGTCCAGGCCGCGACCGTAACTGCGACCGCGACTTTGAACCATGGTTACACGTGAAGGAGGAATTCTTGGAGGATGACGATGAAACATATTTCTGATTTGGAAAGCAGAAGAAAGCATAAGCAATCACATGAGATGACATTCAATCCTTGTCACAAGGTCAAACACCTTTCAAAATATTTAACAATAAAATTCTGAAATAACTGGTCATATGTAAATGATCTCGAGACACAATCGTTAGAAACAACAACCAGGAAACCTCCCCTTACACAAAATCTTTAAAAGACAGACACAAAATCCAAAACTGTTTGCAGGAGACCCTTTTTTTTTTTTTGTGCTTCCTCTTGGTTGTCAGGAGAATGAAAAGGCCTAGGACACATAGAGATGGATATAATTTACCGGGAGATTTTCATAACTGCATATGGAATTCATCAACTTCTCCTCCAAATTCTTTTGTTGAGCACAATCTGGTAAACCTCGCAAAGCTTTGAGGCTTTCTTCAACGACAATATCCTATTCCAATCCTCTGACAAGGACTTCAAACATTGCTGTTGTCTAGAAAGAGACACCTTCTTCAAAGAATTACCATTCTACAAAAGTAGGATGGAAGTTTCAGTGAACTTGTAGATGTGTTATGGGTCGATGTTCATAAATTATGGAAAAAATTTTTATTGTAGGCAAAATTATGAATTTACCGAGTTCGTAATTTCACACCATCTCCTAGTACCAATTGTTCCTCTTCCTCCTGGAACTGGAGCAAGATGTTAAAGTTGAGGTCCATTGCCAGGAAATGCATTCAAATCGTAGTAGGAGATGGGCAGATGACTCACTTGTGGCATGATTGGTGGCACCCAGTTGGACCTCTGATTCAAGTGTTTTTTGCTTGCATAATTCACTTGTTCAGAAGCTCTGAAAATGCCAAAGCATCCTCTGTTATTCACAATGGTGCATGGGCTTGGCCCACAGGTAGAAGGTACACAGGGGAAGTAGTGCAGTTGGTAACTGCTACCCCGCCTTCACTGGTTCCTGTGCCAGGCCAACTTGATGCTGCTACTTGGATTGTTGATTCTAAAGGATGTTATACCGCTAGATCTGCGCACAAGCAGTTTACTACTCCTGGCTCTTCTGTTTTTCGGAGCAAAATGGAACGGGGACAAAAGCATGTTCTGAGACATACTTTCATATTGTGGCTGGCTTGTAAGAACAGATTAGCCACTAAGGACTGTTGACATGGGGGATGCCAGTGGATGCTTGATGTACTCTGCGTTCAGCTGCTGATGAATCCATTGAGCACATACTTTTTCTATGTCCCTTTTCAGCCTCCATCTGGCTGTGTGTGCAACGGAAATGCATGATCAACAGGCACCCACAAGGCTGAAATGAGGAGCCGCAATGGCCGTATGTCCTTTTTCTATCCAAATTTCTCAAAATAGCTCAGGGATCTAGGGCATTAAACATCAAAGTATCGATGCATAAAGCTAAATAAGCAAGTTTACAAGAAAAACGTGATTAAACATTTAGGCCCCTTTAAGGAACTATTAGACTGTGCATTCCTGTTAGGAATAGGCAACATTCATCACATTAGAGGCTCTTCCATGATTGTCACAACAAATACAATTATAACATTTTAGATGCACATTACTTCATTCTGTTCAAGACGAAGGTAGTGAGCAGCATCCATGTCTCACAATACCATCACAGAAGGATTGTCATGCTAAACATTTTCCATTTTCTTACTTTTCATAATCCCCCCATGCTTTGCTTGCCCTAATTAGTTACAAAGTCGTCATTCTGCAGTCAGTGTCCAGATTTTCTAGATTTCGGCAGGTACAGGTTTCAACCAAAAGAATACAACTAAAATGACAGAAACAGGAAAAGAAGCCAAGACATAGAACCTTGCAAAGTAGCCAACTCTATGTGTTAGCAGATCAGCAAGTAGATATACAAACAGGGGCTAAATTTCTGAAATCTTATGATGTCCTGTAAACTCAAGCTGAAATTCCACACTATTTCTTGAGGAAAAAGCTTATCCATAAGACCAAGATACAAAAGAAAAAGCCTAAAGAGCAGTAAGTTCTAAGGCCAAAACTGCACTATCCACGCCCTATATCTGTGACACGGCTATTTTCTTCATGTTTAGGTTGACCCAAGATTCGCGACACTGACATGTAAGAGAAAAATAAAATTGCAGATGTGTAATAATACTAATTGCATTGACAAACTTATCTTGAGCAAGAAGCCATCATTAACCAAATTCCATTTAAAACCTTGGGATTAAAAATCACAGCAAGTCTAGCAGCGGGCAGCTACTGGACTGATGATAACTATTTCCAATTCCTCAATTTTTCTTTGTCCCAACAAATGTGCAATCTCAGTCATTCACTTTTTTTAATTTTTATCACTCATATTCAAAACAAATGCTCCCACCAATGCATAGACTTTACAGTTAAATACCCAAAATAAATGACTAACTTACATTCTGAAAGAGCAACAATAGCCTAATATACTTGTGTTGTATCTATAGCTTAAGTATCAAGATTCAATTTGCCATCGAAATACCAACACCAAGTGAAAGATATAATTAAATTCAGAACATTTTCCTTACCAGATTAATTACAGAACAGTCCGTGACCTAATGTTTTGTTTTCTGCTGGACCATCAAAGGAAGAAAAAATCTATATTTCTCATAGATTTCAATTTCTTGAGGGGTAAATTGCATCATCAAGAATTCCACCCTGCCTTGCGAAAAGCAACATAAACTCGAGCCTCAGAAAGAGGTAAAGGAATTATCCTAAACAAAGTGACTGAAACTTGAACGAATAAAGGCAAAGGGAAGAGAGATTACCTTGCAAGAACAGCGGATTTGGAGATAATTCTGATCTTGGGACGATAATTTTTACGTTTGTGAAGTTACAAGGTTCCCTGCTGTCCCGCTGAGCTCAGGAGAGGTGCTGTTGCAAGCCATAAGACTAAGAGAGAACCATTCGGGCTGTGACACTCCTGCAACAATTTTTTGGCCCATTAAAAGCCATCTTTTTTTTTTTCTTAAATAAAAGTGGACAGTCTCGTCTTTTAATTTAGGGCTGCAAACGAGCCGAATCAAGTCAAACTTTAAGCTAATCGAGCCGAGTCTCAACTAAATTTTACCAAGTTCGAACTCGAGCTCGAGCTCGATGAGCCGGCAATTTAAATCTCAAGCTCGACTCAAATCAATTCGAACCGAGCTCGAGCTCGAAAAAAATAAAAAATAATTATTTTATTTTTTAAAAAATAAATAAAATAATATTTTTTCTTAATAAATAATAAAATATTAAAGATATATATGTAATTTTACTATTAAAATAAGAAATATATATACTTAAAATAAAAAAATAAATAATATTATATATATATACTCGAGCTCGTGAGCTAACGAGCTTAATATTTTGAGCTCGATTTCGACTAGAACCAGCTCGAGCTCGACTCGAGCGACTCGCGAGCGGCTCAATTCGTTTGTAACCCTATTTTAATTATATATCCTTCTCATGCCACTTAAATCATCCCTTCTTTCAATCCATGTCTTTTCCAAATTATCTTATGCAATGTTTTATTTTTGGTTCTTTTTTTCGTTTTATGTATTGAGGTCGATTTTATTTGAAAAGTAAAAACTTTCGTTAAATCAAATCTTTTTTTTTTGGATGTCTCTTTACCACTACTTCTACAATGTAAGTTGGTAGGTCATGTTGTGCATTTTTTTGCAGCCATTAAATTGATTTTTTAGAGGGTTAATGTCTTCTCTAAAATGCAATAAGAGTTATTTTTAGTAAACAATGATATAAAACTCCAAGCATATATTTGGCATTTCATTTAATAGGGCTGATAAAGAATGATTGGCTGATAAAGAATGAGTAAACTTGAAAATGTGGGTAGGTATTAGACTTTTAATCGCTCAAAAACCAAATGTGAAGAGAATTTTGGTGAAACAGTATTTGAAAATTGGAAAAACTTGGTGCTTACCGTTCCTTTATTTATTTTTTTTGGAGATTTTCTTTTGATTGCAAGTATTGGGATAACTCAACGCTTTATTATCTTTGGAGATTCACCATTTCTTTTTCTTTATTGCAAAAAAAGTTTGTACTGCACAACTTTTCCTTTAGAAAATTTTTTTAAAAAATTTTTTTAAAAGTGTTGGTCCAATTAGGATGACCCATTTGGCAATAGTGGACTCGTGCAGCTCTAGCCTGTTTTCCTTCCACTGCGAGGAGCGGGAAGTTCTCGTTGCTCTGTCAAGCCAGCCTCACGCAGTATCCTCCACTTTAGGGGCCAAGTGGTCCAGGCCTCCGCTCAAACCACATGGCTCAGCTCTCCGCTTGGAATGGGCAGGCCGGTGACTAGCTCCACAAGGCCTACCATCTGGGCCAATCCAACGTTCCAACACTTTAATACCCCCACTCGGGTCACAAGCTCGCGCGACCAAGCTCAGCGATGGGCTGCTCCTAGGCATCTGTTTATTAAGTGACGAAAAGATGGAATTTCTTCGATGTGGGACGTATTTATTTTCTTTTTCTTTCACCAGTTCTTATGTGTTTCTGGGAAACGCTTCAATGGAACCAAAAGAAATGTGCTGGATGTGTGTGTGGCTATTGGAGTTCAATAAGTGCTGGTATTATTGAGGATGGAAATGCAGGCTTTAAGAGAAGGTTGATTGCTGCCAAATTACCATTAGTAACTAAAAAGAAATTGAAGTAAAACTAGTACTCATCAAATTGGTAAATCTTAATCGTCAAAAGGTTTGAATGTCTATGGAAAACCTCCAACGAGGATTCCTTAAATTTCTTGAGTATGGCAAAAGAAGCTTTTGTTTTTGACATTCTTGCTCGATTGCCTAACGCTAAGGGCACCTTATCTTTGTCAGAATTACTCTACTAAACCTTCGAAATGGTGGATGAATGTAAGAATGGTAGATTAGTTAACCAAAGTAATAGTCTCACCAAAGTAATAGTCTTCAAAAGCATAAAAAAAAAGAAAAGAAAAGAATGACCACATTCGAGCTCAAAACACCAGCTGATTACACCAGATTATGTTCACTGAAGCACACCAAAATTGGATGTACTGATGCTTGAGAATGAGCATTCTGAAATAAAACTTGGTCATAGATAACAAAATGTTAATTATGGCTGAAATACTAAATCATCCCGGATACTGACAGGTGTCGAGCCTGTGCAATAATAAATACCTACTCGAGAAAAATAAATTTTCTGTGTACAGTAGTGAGTAGGGTCGAATCCACAGGGACTGGGAAAAATTTGATTCCTTTCAAGTTCGGGACACGGGGGATTTTTATCAGAAATAAACTAAAAATAATTAAACAATTTAACTAAAAATAATTAAATAATTTAACCAAAAATAAATAATTAATTAATACAATTGTAAATGGCAATTAAATAAATGATAAATAAATTCTAGCCAAGGATACAACTACGCAAACACAGTCCATTCATCCGATCATTGATGCAAAGAAAGTTCACTTAATTTTATTAACAGGCTAGTTATAGTCGCCGATAAACTCTAACGACCAGCTTTTCCTTAATTTATTGATAACCAAGGTACGACCGTTGATTACCTCTAACCAGGAAATACTCCTAGGTACGACCGTAGGAATTAATTTCCTAATTGCATTAAAAACTAGAAAAGCCTAACCCAAATTAATAACACGCTACGAGGGTTATTTAAATCAGATTGCATGTTCTCCTAGTATGTGAAAATACTAGTTGTCACCAATATTAACCAACTAAACAATTACGGATTTAATTGATTAATTTGACAGGAGATTAATAAGTCAAATTGCACATCGGGCCCTTGATATCCAATTAACAAAATAATCCCATGGAAATTAAAATAGAAAACATGCAAATATTAACAAATTAAGGAACACGTAAAATTAATTAGATCTCACAGATATTTGGGACTGCGTCTTCGCGTTGATCCTTGACTAGATGAGAAAATTAGCCACGCCTCATACGAAAATCTTCACACAATTCAATTGAATTTAAAGACATCATCTTTCTTCGATAATTGAGAGAGTGAATAACAAAGCTCTCGGAAGAAAATAAGAAAATTGCACAATAGAATTCAACAAACCAAAACAACTCCCTATTCTCTCCTCTGGAACATCCCTCGGAGAGAAAAACTACAAACTCCTCTATCCTCCTACGGAGCTTAATTTTGAAAGAAAACTACAACTCACTAG